CAGCACAAACAAACCGATTTCTGATCAGCAAATGTCCTTGACAGAAGGGAACATTTATTATTAGTCCAGTCGGTTGTACAGAAGTTTTGAACTATCAGACAGCAAGCTGTGATACTCTTGTTCATCATTGCAAATCACCTCCCCAACTGGACGAAATCAATAATAATATATATATATATATATAAACGCATGAGCATTTGTGATTGAGATAACAGGATTGGCATGACAGGAAATTATCACCACTTTATAAACAGGATTGGCAAACAAATCAGCAACAAGACACTATGCAGGCCTCTTCTCCTCCTATTTGTTGTTTCTCTTTTTTCCGAAAAGCAGCCAATACTCGTAGTGCCTATGTTCAGTCACCAGTGGGATATCTTCATTCAACAGTTAACTAAAAGAAATGTCAAAATGATAACATACACGTAAAGATTCTGCATTCTTCTTGCTAAGCAAAAAGTTGTCCATCAATCCTTGCTCTTCACGGGAACAGTATTTACAGCAGGTAAGTGGGGGATGCAGGCAATTGAGCAGCACTCGGCGACACCCAAACACTCGGGCTAATTCTTTATGCGTTAATAATATTCATTCATGAACTTTCTCTTTGCAAATGTCAACCACCATTATTAGGAGTCTTGTTGTGTCTGTATGCAACACTCAATGGTCTTCCACGAATTGGCCTCAAATAATTTCTGAATAAGTCTGTATTATGATTATCCATCGTCAAGTCAAAACGTTCATCTTGTCATCATATGCTTGATCAGCCCAAAATCAAACATTTACCACGAAACTTAGACATAGCTTGCTTATTCATGCTTCCTTTTTTTTTTTTTTTCCTAATTTTAGGATCACCCTCTAGTAAAAGTGAATTACGCTGGGACTGAAGACATTCAAAGTTTAACAGTTGGAGTTCAGATGTGTTACGTTGAACTTCTTTACCACTAACCAAGTTTGCCACTATAACATGGCGCATGCAATAGAGGACGAACCTACAAAAACAGCTGTGGGAAATCTTACCTGCTGATTTTTGAGATTGTGGTAGTGTAAACAACCATGGAAGGGGAAAGCCGGACTCTCCGGGCACAGAAACCTGTTCCAGACTCAGGTTAATAATTGCCTTTGTTCCTTCAGCCAATGTTCTGCAGCCTCTTGCTTTTCTAAAGCCGCATTTATGTAGGAGGTGTTCTGAAGAAGACATTAGCTCTAATAAGTGTTATTGCTTTGTCAACAATGTCAGTGGTGTCTGCATATGTTAAAGATAAGAAATACTTCAGAAGTTAAGAGTTAAAATACTGATTAAACAATAAAGAAAGCAAGTTATTAACCCTAAAAGAACCAGAAAAACAAAGAAATTCTAACCCTGAACTGAAACTAGAGCAGGTCCCTTTATGTGACTTTTTAGAGGAAGAAGAGGGCATCCACAAGCTTTGGCAATCCCTTCCTCATCAACAAAGCTGGAGCCATAAACCTGATATACAAACTATCAACTTAAGACTACGCACTAGAAAAGTAGTTGAATGTGAAACATATAGCCTCAGTATATGTGTTCTATCAAACAAAAAACTAAAAAGAATTTGGCAAACTAAGTAATGCGGACTTTGAGTATAAAATCCGAAAGATGTGCTATCTATTAACAGTGCTGCAAAAGCATGAAAACCAAGATAATAAGAAGAAGAGAAAAAGGTATTAAGCACTTTGTACAAATGAGAACAAACTCATTCCCTAAGCTTCCTGAGGTAATCATGAAAATTTATACACCAAGTCAGAAAACACAATCCAGGAGGCAAAGGGGATGCACCACGAATCAAGAATGAAGTAGAATATAATAGTGATATCAATAACCCCTTAGCTTCATTGCTGCAAGAAGTTCAATATCTCCCTCACATCATATTGCTTTACCACATACCAACTTGTCCAGCTTTAAAGTCATGTTTTATATCACCAACCAGAGACAATCTAAACTTTTCCTAATGTAATGTGAGCCTTAGATGATCAAGAAACATCGTAATCCCATTGTCTTATTCAAATTAAAAAAAAACTAAGAACAAAAGTTCAGCATTGTGAACAACTATTGCGGTTTAGCAATGACCCACGAAGGAAAGCTCTAACCTAGCCAAGATAAGATCTTTATGACACACCATTTCTCAATCCATTCGGGGACTGAGAAATTCGTCTCTTGTTATTCTTTCTTGACCCCTTCTTCTATTGCAGATAAACTACCTACTCTCTATTAATTAGCTATTAAAAAATAAAATAAAAAGAAGACGACACCTGACACAATCTCTTAGTATATAATATCAACAAGAATCAATAGCATTAGCAGAAGTACCCCTATCGCAGAATGACATCTAGAAATCGAAATAGTATCTCACCATTGATCTGGATTCTGGTCTGATAAAGAAGGGGTAACCGGTGGTTGATCAGAAGTCAGCCCGACGAGTAAGCATTCAACCCGACACAATTTTCAGTGTCGGGCTGGTCTGGCCTTGGAACTTGGAAGGCTACAAATTGAATCCTGTGCGGCTTTTTTGGGCTGAGAAGTGGAAACAGAGGATTCTGGGCTTATGGCGCACCGTGGGCTCTGTTGGACATGGGTTAGTTTACTATTTCTTCCATCCCCACTTTGATGGTGTATATATTTTTCACGTAATTTAAGAAAAATTAATTAATTTTATTAAAAAAATAAATATAATCTGCTTTTTTTAAATATTCTTACATTAATATTAATAGTATAACTAACCGTTATATCTTTACATTAATTGTAACAATAATATTGATAAAAAGTTGCACTATTTAAGGCATGAATCAAAGTAATTAATGAATAAAGTAAGTTATATTCATTGATAACAAAGTACATTACATAAGGGCACTTTAAAGAAGTTTAAAATTAACTATATTTTTCAATTGAAAAATGAATTATAATTTATGACGGATTAAAAAGGATAACAAAACTATCAAAATGAAATCGAGGGAAGGAGTACCTCATACGCTGCTACCAATACAGATTGTAGCAAGGCAAAAGAATTATGCCCCAAGCAACGCAACAGGAAATTAGGAGAGTGAATTAGATACTATTTCTAGGTTTGGAATCCATAACGTGTAAAATTCATTATAGACTTGTAGTACAGTAATCCCCTCTCCCGTTTATACAGCCGTCACACTTGTAATTATTTTGAAAACGTCCAAACAGTATGTCACTCTCCGAAAGAAGTCAATAATGCTTTATCATATCATGTTTTTATCCTACACTATTGATAACTTTAATCTACAACCTTTTATCTTCCCTTATTTCAAGAAATTATGAAGGTGACTTGTCTTAGCCATGCAAGGTCATACAATGGATTTTCCTTAAAATTTACGTAATGTAATTATGTAACACTGCAGAAGTAATCGTGTTGATAGAGAGGTATATTATAACTTGGAGTGAAGATGGTGTCTCAAAATGAATTATTTGGAGGCATCTGGGCATTTTGTTGTTTGTGTAACATATGACTGCTGCAAGAGCCTAAGAATAAAACTTCATAGTGCACTTGAGACAACTCATGAACTCATGTATGCTAGTATTTCAATGAGGTTCCAATTCATTTTTTTTTTTTACAGCAACGATAACATTTCTGTAACATAATCTAGAAATAAGGGAATCTAAAGAGGCTGTATATAAGGGTTGCTCGGATACCTCTTTTGAATTTTTTTCACTGAAATTGAAATTTGAACTCCTGACCTATAATTCAAAGAGGGACTTGGTTCCTTTTTGGTCGCGCGGCTCAGTGGTTATGAGGTTCCACTTCATTTGCAAGTGCTTTTGATTCGTTGCATGTAACATTCCTCATTATGATCAGGACTACAACAGTCTTGTGCAAAGCACTTATGGGAACACTTTTTAGCATCCTTGGTATTAAAAGTTTCGGGGTTTTCAAGTGACATGAATAAATTGAAAAAAGAAAAACAAACTTAACAGAACAGCCCAACCGGTTGGCAGGTCCTGATTTGGTCATGAGTTCTGACAAAAACAGAGGAGAAAAATGAAACACTTGGAGACTCAATAGATTATTAGAGGTTCTGGATTCGAATCTTTGACTTCTCCTCTCATTTCTTAAATCTCACATTTTTCTGCTAAAAAATAAATTTACAAACAAGGTTTATAACCAAAAAAAAAAAAAAAAAATTACTCCAACACAAATGATGTAAATTGATTTGATCATGTAGCATACATATGTATCATCAGGCATACAGCCATATGTGCATTATTAGCCTTTCGTGGAGCGGAGACGGCAGGCCTGTTGGCCAGTCCCCATCCATCGTCCTTGTGTTGGCAGATGCCTCCTCCAGTGGCGTAGCTATTTGGATGGTAAAGGTTTCTGTTTTCTGCAGGGTGCTGGTGGGTATATTCCTATTTCCTCCACAATTGCCGCAGGCAACACCCAACCCAGCCTCTAAACAAAAGGCGACTTCTGTTCTGTGACTGTGTGGTTATTCTGAAAGGAGATTTTTGAACCCCACAGAGTCTTCAATACCATAGTAGTAGTATTATTACATTTTAGTATTATTTTCCATACAAGGCATGCAGTCCAATCCCGTATTTTTCATATACTTTTTGGTCCACGTATCTCTCTACTCATTTTCAGCAATTAATGCAGATTATGGTGCATTTCCCTACAATTTGTTAGATTAAAAGATGATTTCAATTCCAGGTTGGTTTCTCTGTATACTTTCATACTCCCTCCCTTTTTTTATAACTGACGTTTAAGAAATTTGCTCTAGTGTACTTTTATCTATCGTTTTATTATCCCCATACAGTATTAATTATTTGTTCACAATTTTACCCTTTTATTTCTCTTTTCCAATACAGGGTTCTTAATTACTACTCCTAGTTTGGTGGGAGTTAGTTTGCATTGCTTTTGGCCTAGTAAAACAGCACCATTTAGTACTCTAGTGAGAGAAAATATGGGTGAATTGGATAATTAATGAGGGTACAAAAGGAAAGTAGTGTACAGATTTAAGCAATGAAAAACTTTTCTTAATTGGTGTGTAAAACCTTAAACGTCAGTTTTAAAAAAAGGGAGGGAGTATTACAGTACTATTTAACTTATTAGCAGAAAAATTGAAATACATAACAAACCTTAAAAGTCAAAGCATTTTACCAAGAGAAGGGTCTGCTCTCTTTTTCGCCATGCAGTTGGAAATTGCTCCGTGCGATGATTGAGGCCTCAGGCCAATGGCCGGAGGTTGAGTCTGCTGCTCACCTGGGAAAGTTATCTTTGACGGCTCCGTTTGGTCTGTGTACGCTGTTCTGTTGCCTTAAGCGTTATAAATATCCGAGAGTTCAGTCAGTGGAAAGAATAATAGAGCCTCAGCTTTGGTCCCACTGCTCCAGCAAAGAAAGAACTTGTTTTAATTTCTTAACGGGAAATGGGACCTCACAAGTTCTTGGTGTAAATTAAGAGTTTAGGGTAAATCAATTTACACTAAATGATAATAATTAATTTATACCAAAGTATATCTGATTTACATCAATAATAACAAATTAACATACATTAAACTGTACTTAATTTACATCAAATTGGACTTGATTTACATCAAAAATCAACTTGTGCGCGAAATTGTACGAACACACAAATTGTGAGGCTCCGGATCCATTTTTAATGAAAATGGTTTGGCAACTTGAAAGAAGCATTTGATAATAGAGCAAATTATCCGGTTGACCACTAAACTTTTACAATCGTTGAGTTTTGGTCACTCAACTATTAAAAGTCTGGTTTTGGCCACTAAAATGTATAAAGTTAAGACACGAGGCCATTCTGTTAGATTTAGCCGTTAAGTTCTCAGATCTGTCTGTTCGCACGATTTCCAAGACAAAAGAAAGGGTCAATATGGGAAGTTGAAAATAGCACTTGCACCTCTTGAAAAACAAAAAGCTTAGGAGGGTACTCTGAGCTTCCTCTCGAACAAACTGAAGCTCCCATCCTCACAATGGATCCAACAGCTGGCCTTCATTTGACATTGAAATTGAAGAAGTAGTTGACCCAAAGGACGAGCTACTCTCTAATACCAACGATTCCGGCACAGCCCCACTGATTTCCTTAGCCTCAGCACCATTATTACTCATGCTTTCAGCTGGATTCTCCAAGGCTGCATTACAATCCGATCTACCCAAAATATCCAAACCCATTAGTCCCTGACCCAAACCAGCAGCATCAGCAGACTGACCCCTCTAAACAATCTTCGTGTTATTCAGAGCATCAGAAAACCACGAGTCAACTTTCGGATCAAGAAGCGCTGAACTCGGAGACTCTGGCTTTATGGGGAAGAGAAATAATCTGATGCAGGATGGTGTAGGGGATGTAACGGCGGAGATGCAGTCGTGCTCTTCCAGCATATTCTGGAGGTCGTGATCAGTGGTGACGGAGATGAGTGAATCGAGGTCCTCGTTTGGGAGCTGGACTTCAGCTGAAACGGGCGGTTGCCGAAGAGGGTCCGGGAGAGGTGGGTGGTGAGGGCATAAATGGATGAGCAGTCCATGAACAAATTCGCCGATCTTGCTCTTTTTTTTTTGTTCCTTAATAATTAAATTTGGGCTAGCATAGATAGTAGATTGAAAGACTGGATATCTCACTATTATCGATCGTCCCTCTTCTTCCTTTTTTTTTTGTTTTTGGTTTTTGGGGTGCCGGTGGTTCATCTGCACTCCCTGTGTAGGTTATGGTTGAAAACTAGGTGGTGATAATGACTCAGCAGCCGACCCTGTGACACATCGCTATTGCCCAATTCTATTGAAATTAATTCAATTAGAAGACCAATCCATTGCCTTTCATTGCTTTGTTGTTGTCGTTGTAGCAACTACTACTAAATTATCCCTAACAAAGTGATGCGGTATGGTGCCTGGACTAAATTATTCCTAAATTGACCCTTTCTTTTGTCTTGAAAATCGTGCGAACAGACAGATCAGAGAACTTAACGGCTAAATCTAACAGAATGGCCTCGTGTCTTAACTTTATACATTTTAGTGGCCAAAATCAGACTTTTAATAGTTGAGTGACCAAAACTCAACGATCATAAAAGTTTAGTGGCCAATCGGATAATTTGCTCTTTGATAATATGAGCTCCCTCCCATGTGATGGCGAATAATTGGCTATCACACAACTCGTATCATTACAAGAAATTTTCCAATTGCTTACCTCACATGTATATTCTCAGATGACTTTTTTTTTTGGTGATTAGTAGATACTAGCATAAAGTAAAATAAAAGTAGCAAAATAATAATAATAATATATTGAGATGACTGATGAACCAACCTTTCCTGTGCACAAGGCCTTAGTATATATGTGGGATTGCAACAGACAAATTTGGCATTATATTCGTTAGACCTACCCATACTATAAGAATTATCAACAAAATAGTTGGAGCACTTTTTTTTTTTTTTTCTGGTTTGGTCACCTCTGCAGTTTCTTCAGTTCATTGTTTTTTGTGAAAGGAGTCGCAATCCATGGGCAGGTAGGGCATAGTTTATGGGGCGGGCAAGTTGGTGACAAAGCACGCAGCCGGCCGTTCAACAAGCATCTCGGGCGGACATTTTGCCAACTTCTTCTCTTTTACTTCGCCGGGTTTATCCAATCTTGAAAGCAATTCATTCCCAAAATGACTTAAAGGCACGTTAGATATTGCTTTGCCTTTCTACATCGAGCGAGCGAACAAAATTCACCAATGAGGCCAAAAGAGTTTGCATCACCCTTTACTAAGAAATGCAGTCAACTTAATCGGCATTCCTTGATAGCCACCAAATGGATAAACCCACTACTACAATAGATTACTCTAATCCATTTCGTCCTAAAAATCACTTTCTTTTTTCCTCTTTGGAGGTGGGACTAACAAAAGATCAGAGCTGGTCTCGCAAAATTTTAGTACAATTCGAAAGCGGGCCAAGCCTTTTCTAAGGCCAAAGAATGAGGACAATGGGACTTACTGCACCTGTACACAAAGGCAACCTACAAGAGCAAATTCAATAATGGCGAAAACTTGCTAAATGACGATGTCAGGTTAAATTAGTTCCGAAAATGATGATGTCAACATATAGGGGACGCTCGCCATGGGTCCTCTTTGGCAAGCAAGCTCATGGATGTCCCTCACGATGTCAAAAACTGCATCCGGCTTTGCGAGTTGCAGAGCATTCTCTGACATTCTCGTCAGCTCATCCGTCTTGGTGGTGAACCATCCAGCCACAATCCTGGCTGTTTCCTTGGGGCTCCTGGTAAATACCCCCGCACCGTTGTCGACTACATATGGAACGTTCCCTTTCTCCTGCATTGCCACCCACAGAGTGAAAAAACCAAGCTTAATGCGTGAAGATACATCCCTAAACTAATAAGAGAAGAAGCCAAGACTTGAATTTGATCCCTTACTTGTCCAGGGATGTAGTCGTTGAGAATGATAGGAAGACCTCTGATCAATGCTTCTGTAATTGTACCAGGTCCAGCCTTTACATTTCAAGAAATTAAAGCATAAAACCATTGCTCCAAAGTAATTGAAAGATTGGATTGATTGTTGAAGACAATATGAAATGCAAAGATCGAGCACTTACTTTCGTTATAATGCAGTCGCAAGCGCCCATCCATTTCACCATCTGCGTCTCAAATCCTCTAACCTATATCGGCAATTGTAGCTATTACTTTGAGAACTTCAGTTTCACTCAGGTTAATAAACAATTTAACACTTTTCAAGTTTCGCCTACCTTAACTGGGATCTTCCATTCAAGCGATTTTAATGTGTTGGCTAGGTTTTCATTACGACCACATATGACGATCAATTGGCCAATCGGTCGGCTGAGTTCTTGATCAAACAGAGTTTCTCCAAGAGCCTTTGCGGTTTTCTTCACAGGGCCCATCCCTTCACCACCTCCCATTAGCAAAACTGCTGGCAGAACTGGATCCATCTCAAGCTCGACTCTCAAATCATCCTACAGAAAGAGAACAACCGCATAAAAAACTAGTACAAATTCTTATATGTGAAACCAAAAATATGTGCGCCTTCCCAAATTCTCATAGTGGGAAGTACCTAGTGAACTTGATTGCTTCTTTAAAAAAAATAATAACGAAAAAACGAGAACAGACTAACACATGAGAAATTTTGCTTTGGGCTACTGTATTCACCTTCGAGAGAACAGCACGACAAAAAGAAGGTCTGATAGGCAAGCCAAAGACGCGAAGTTGAGATTCTTCCAAGCCATCTAGCAGAGCCCGTTTTGCAACCTCATCTGACGGACAGTATAATCTATTTACTCCTGGATGAAACCTAAACACAAGGAAGTGTGGATTTTAGGATGCAAGAATCCATATCAGGAAGCAAAGATAAAATTTATGTCCAATATACAACAGCAACAGACCAGGTGCGATGGCAAGTATTGAGGTCAGTAATGACTGTTACAAAGATCACTTTCTTCTGTAGGCCTTGCCATTTAAGAACCCACAAAGGAATATGCTGCATAAGTGGATGCACACTAATGATAATGTCTGGCTTGTACTCCATTAGGCCGGCCTCTACTTCCCTGCATTATTAGACAGCAAACTAATAATCAGAACAACCAATGACAGTTGAGCGTTCCACAATAATTCTTCACTACTCTTCTGGACTAAATAAATCCAATAATGTACTCTGATGATTGACAAATTTCGCCCAGGCCAATTGATTGATTACACGTTAATAATTAACTGACTGTTTTAACTTGTAATTGATCAATTAAAGACAAGAAGTTTCTGACAAGAAACATCAAACAGAGCGGGTGGCGGGGGGCCGTGGAACATATTAATCAAGAAGTTCAAACGGGTTGACAAAGTCATGCGGGTGGCCAAACCGAAGCAGGGAGGCAACTATTTATGGGAATCTTCTCAACGGCACAAGCTGTGATGCAACATGGAAAAGACTAAAAGAAACATCAACATACTTTGCGTAAAATGCTGCAATCGCAGCAAGATAGAGGCTGTGTATCCATCTAGGAGAGGTACTGTGAAATGCAACGTTCCAGAGCTGCACGTGTTTAACCATGAACTTGTATTGGTTTTCCATGTTATTCAGTGGCCAGCCCGTATACTCTTTCCAGACATCCTTCACGATAATCTGTAATCAGAGCAAATTAAAACAAGATAAACTCGTGTAAGGATAAAGAGTTGATGAAACTTATGATTAGCAGTACAACTAGTCGTCAGAAAAGGTCAAAATTGTCAGATCATGGTGAAAGCTTCCAAAAGCAACCGAAAGGATCCGGGCAGGAGGACTAAAGGACATTAACATTAATGCTTCCAATTTCAAGGAAACTTCGTTGCTATATTACATGAGAGAGAGAGAGAGAGAGAGAGGAAGCAACAACGTATAGAAACTGCAGGTAGCAATTAGTTCGAATTATTGTGTGCCAGAAAATCTGCATGAATCTTAACCGTATACCCTGTAAACTTAAAGCACATAAAACGGCCATTTAGCAGGGCAAATTATACAAAGGCATACTCATTTGCATTAAAAACTATCCTAATTTGCAAAGCATTGCTCAAAAAGAAAAAGAAAAGCAAAGTCGCGCTGCAAAACACAACTCATGACATCAGAAACATGCTGGAGGAAGGATCAAAGTTACCGACAATTGGATCATCTAGATAAACTAAATAACGATACAATCTCCAAAAGCCAAGGCTGCACGAACACAGATGAGTTTTTATGCAGAGCTTTGGTAAAAAAAATCCCACAAAAATGGTACTCACCCTATATTGATCACCAAATTCCAACTTGAACGCATCCCTGATGGCTTCAGCAGAAGCTCTATGACCACCACCTGTATCACTCATGAGAATCAACACGTTCTTGGTCCTCTCAGCACCTATTTGTTCCATCTCCATGATGTCATCCTCACCTTGAATGTCATACTTGGCTCTCTTCTGGATGCTCCCTCCAAATCCATACACCCCTACCCTCTGAAACACCGTATTTATTGATTTCCTTGGCGATGCAGCCATCACCATCTCTCTAAGATCTCACAAACTAAGCAATCCCTCTTCTCACCCCGCCACCGGAACACAGAACCCCAATAAATCCCAAGAAATTCAGTCCCCTGCCCCCTTATACCCCCGAAATGGGATTTTCCGGCAAAAATGAAAAAGAAACAAACTTTTTAATGCCAATGTACAAATGATCAAATTATGCCAGCAACCCAGAAAGGAATTCAAAAACCCAAGAAAACCCGGGAATTCAATTTCCTTTCTAACGTTGCTGGGAGGATGATGAGGATTTTTCAGGGAATGAAAGAGAAAGCTTTAAGTTATAGTTTGGAGATGGGAAGAGTTGGTTTGTTTTTGTCAAGTGCTGTGGGGAGAGCTGGTTCGGCTGGCAAAGATGGTTGGTTTTTTCTGTTATAAAAGAACAAGGGGAAAGAAGGGTGCAAATTTAGATACTGGAATGATGCCTCGGAAATGTTTTGGTTGGCTGTTCAACTGCAACTTATAGCCGTCGGATATACATTTGCATTTGCGGGTCGGAATGTTCTGACGCGTAGATTCGAATCTTTTAATTAAGCGTGAGTTATGCCTCTACACTTACCCTACTTATAGTAATTAATAAATAGTATTAGTTTTTGTTGGTGTATTTTTTTTTCCCTATTTTAAGACTTGTGTCTTTTTTTGTCCAACGGATCTTCTGTCCCACACCCTGTGCCACTCTCTGTCCCACTTTTTATTATATTGCTATTTCTCCTTCATAAACATCATGTTTTAATTCTTTTTTGTTTCCTTAAGATCTAATAACTATTAATTGAGCAAAAAATAAATACAACAGTTTCAAAAAA